CTGGGAGCACAACAGAAAGGTAAGCAACTTGCTTTGAAGCAAAGAAAGTTATTATTCCACGGATCTCAGAAAGAAGGAACGTTCCAGAATGCTGCACTGGCAACAGGCGGCCTGCATGTGCGCGGCCCCTGCAGTCGGTCCAGCTGCCGGCCTTGCAGTGCTGAAAAGAATGTGCAGTACAGCATGTCACATAGTATCGCAGCCTGGACAAATAGACGCTGGGAAGTCCTAGTTATGTGCTCACCTACACCACGATGCACCAATCTTCTGAGCTACTTTGGCAACAATTTTGTCCACTTGAGACTCCCATGGGCTGAGCCAGTTGTTGAGGGCTGCATCAAGGTGGACGGCAATGACCGCTGATGGCAAGGCAATCCATGACACACAGTCACTAGGGCATCGTCAACATGGCGCTGAGGCTGGATGAATAAAATCAACCTTTAGGCTGCCGCGGGATTGACAACGAGGCCGCTGTCTCGAAGCTAGTCAGTCAGCCTGGTCACCGCCATTGACGAACCAGTCGCCACCGCCAGCAGTGGCGGTAGGTTGTGACAAGTATGGTGCAATATTGTCAGCAAATTCAGTACTCAGGATAAGATGAGTGACAAAGGGAACGTTGTGTTTCATAATATTGAAGTGAACAGGGATGATCACAAACCCTGCGCGTACTCCACCGTGAGTTACAAGAAAATTCCGGACTGGACGACGAGCAAACACCAACCTGCTACATCCTAACAGGCAGATACTATAACGATAGCTGCCAAACCAGGTCAATGCCGACCTACTGCATAATGTCAATGTCAAACAGATCCTGCAGGAGAAGACTGGGGTGTTGGCGTCCAGTCACTGAGTGTACAGACACCAGTCACATTTCCTGCGTCTTTTGCAGCATACAGGATAGACTCATCACTGTAAAGTCCACAACTTCGTGATTTTTATTTGTAGAATACATGACAGGCGTATTCAGTGTGCCTCGCAGGACTGCGAGATGCTGCAGAAGACCAGGTTCGACCTTTCTGGACCGCCATTCACCGACGGTGGGCTACACGATGCTGGAGGAACTAGATTCCAGTGAAAACCCAAGATTCCTTTGCTCCTGGACGCTCCGACGTGTTGTGATATCTGCCAGGTGCGCAGTAACTAGTATTTTCATCGCTATAGCGAGGACGACGCCGATCGGCAAACTCTCGCTCACAGCCATCACCAGCCTCTCAAAGCCATCACTTGGCATCCCCCAGAGGTATAGGAGAAAGCCAAAACAGCTCTCAACAAATAAAAGCTAAGGACGATGGAAAGGGAGCATGTCAAAAAGAAGACGAACAGTATGAAGTTCAAATGGGTTTGAACACTCGTTCCACCAACTATACCACTTTCAATAAATCGTGACGCCATTTTGTTTTAACATGAATATCGCGGGTTGGCTATGCCTGTGTATTTGCGTTCTGTTCTGCAGATTGTCACACTGTTGATGTCCAGCGTAAACAGATGTCAGCCGTATCACCAACATGTAAGTATGAGTAAACCCAACACTGTACATCATGTGTTGACTACGAGTACACCCAACACTGTACATCATGTGTTGACTACGAGTACACCCAACACTGTACATCATGTGTTGACTACGAATACACCCAACACTGTACATCATGTGTTGACTACGAGTACATCCAACACTGTACATCCTGTGTTGACTACGAGAAGACCCAGGTGCTCGAAGTCCAAACAGCTATCCTAAGTTCGTACACCCATAATTTCACGTTCTGTTATGGGTGTTTTTACCCAAATATTTTATCGAGGGGACATTGTGACATGTTCTCCTGGCATACAACTTTTCAGGCATCTACGATAAGCAGAAGTCCCATACCGCGCGAGTGGGTTTTTGAGTGGCCATATGAAATACAAATTGGGTTACATTTCATGCAAAAATCAACTTTGCCAAGACAGATTTCGAACGGACACAGCATCAAACAGACCTTCACTTAATCATCAAGAGCCAGCTTAGAGCTGAGAATGGCCAGAGGAGAAAAATTTACAGAGAACCACCAATCATTGCAGAAAGGTTGACACTCCTGGCATCTCCACCACTGTTTTCCCCCGGTTTTCAAAGCGCAGATGCTTCTTCTCTCAGCCGACTAAAAACAGCTTGGCTTTCGATAACAAACTACGCTTTTGCAAGGAATATTGGTGGAGGCACATGCCAAAACATATCGCTTCGGTACTTTCGTCGTAACCGAGGGATAGCAGGTTAGCAACTAGCAGAAATATGTCTGTATTTCGGGTCATCTCTGAGCTGTACGGACTTAAAGCACCCTCTGCGACACCAAAATTTGATATGAGAGACCAGCGAACTCCAGAGAAACAGATCGGATCGAAAGATGGCCTGGTTCAATCGAGCCTGGCCTATAAACAAACTTGGACAGGATACCTTCCATCCACGAGCAGGATTCTGGCAAGTGATCATTGCTAGTGTGAGTTTCAGCTCAGCAAACACACACTGTAAAAGTGTCCGGACTTTGAGCACCTGGGTCTACACCCAACACTGTACATCATGTGTTGGCTACGAGTAGACCGAACACTGTACATTATGTATTGGCTACGAGTACACCCAACACTGTACATCATGTGTTGACTACGAGTACACCCAACACTGTGTTTCGGGGTAAACAAGTTAGTTGTTTACAACAGGATTATATTCTCACTTGGCCATTGTAGGCAAATCATAAGAACGCCGACATCTAAATGATCCTGCATGAAAGTAGGCAGCTGCGAGACGCGTACCTCGCGCATGCTCTTGCATGGCTACGTAATGCATTACATCATAATACAACATCCCCTTCGTCATAAAGGAGTTTAACAACCTACATAACATACCGTACGTATATGACGGCGTGTTCACAATATAGAACATAACATCCAACAATAGCTCTATGTACAAGGTAACAATCATGAATGTCACACGACGGCGTGCTAACAATACAGAGACATAGTATCCAACAATAGCTCTATGTACAATATGGGCCCCAACCAGCGAAAACAGCCCTTAGGGTCAACATTTTCAAAATTCCTTTTTGGTTAGAAATTTGTTGAACCACATCTACTGAAGGACCTCAGCCAAGAAAAAGTTCAATATTCCGATTCTAAACGTGTGTATACACCAATATACAAGATGTACTCCAAATTGGTGCAATGTATGTATACGTCCGTTGACCGACTGCACGAGTGGGGTCGTACATGGAAAGTGATGTTTGAACCGACCAAATCCCAGGCCATGACAGCCACCCTCAGACGCACCGGCTTAGATCTCCCCCCACTCCTGTTTGGTGGCACACTGGTGCCCGAGACAACCACCATCACCCTCCTTGGTGTGAAGGTGGACGCCAAGTTGACCTTCAGCGATCACCTACGCTCCGTAGCCACCCGTGCACGCCAACGGCTTGGGGTCCTAAACAGAGCCGCCCACATACTCACCCCCGCCGGCCGGACGACCGTATACAAGGCGTTCGTACGACCAGTCATGGAGTATGCGCCTCTTGTATGGATGGGAGCTGCGCAGAGTCACCTCCAGCGTCTGAACAATGTTCAGCGCCGCGCGCTTCATGCTATCGGCCCTGGGGCACACCTACCCAGCCTGGCCATCCGCCGCACTGTTGCCTCGCTTGCCTGCCTGTACAAGCTGCACTACTTGCCTGGTCCTCCGCAGCTGCTCTCTGTGTTGCCACCGCGCCACATCATCTCTACCAACCCCAGAACTCGCAGCGAGCGCGGTGCTGTCAGTGGCCATGACCACCAGCTCCAACACCAGCTGCCTGCATCTGCCCCGCTGCCACTGAAGCGCTCGTTCCCACACTGCAGCATCAGCGATTGGAACTCCCTCCCTGCCGCTCTCCTATCCCAGCCTCCCCACAGCAAGAGAATGCAATCATTCAAAACGAATGTTTACCGCCATCTTCGCAGCACAAACTGGCTCTGGGCAGTCGATTCCCTATGAATAGTATGACGCTAAGACAGTTTCTCCCCCACAATCGCTCGTGTTAAGCCTTGGGTTTTTGCATCTTTCTCACCTGTACAGCTCTATCTTCTTCTTTTTTCATTGTTTTTGGTGCGTGTTTTTGGCAGTGACGCCGAGACCTCAGGTCGGCAGAGTCATCAATGCCCCACCATCACTGCTGCGTCTCGGTGCAGCGCCTGCTCATTAGTTGTCACGTTTGTCCTAGTCTCCGTACCATTGTCTTTCCTTATTCTTTTCGAGCTGGTTATGTGAACGTAGTAAAAAAAAAAAAAAAAAAAAAAAAAAAAAAACGATGTATGTGTACAATGAATATTCAGCATTCGAAGGTGGGTGGGCAGCTTGAATACTTTTGGAATAGTGCAGTAAGCAGCTATAATGACAAAGAATAGCTGATGAGTGCGGAGAAATGATCGACATATTCGCAGCTGCATCCAGCGTGGAGTCGTTCCGCAATCTCGTCTTCCATTTCTTCCTCCGTAGCTGAAGACACGACGTCGCTGCCGTCACTAGCCCCAGACTCAGAATTTATCTCAGGTGACGACTCCTTATCTTCCGACTCCGACGACGAGTCATTGGCCACCTTGAGCCGCATCGCAGCAGGAGATGACGGCTGCGATTCCGCCTCGCTGTCGACATCGATGTCGGAACCAAAGAACGTCTCATCCTCATTCTGAACTTCAGCGGCTACTTCAGCATCCACTCCCCACCAGGCTCGAGCTAGCTGTAGACAATGACTGCGTGTGTGCTCTGCGAACAGCTCTGGCGTCCGCAGCCATCGCAACAAGATCAAGGAACACTGGAGTCGCCACTCGAAACCACTTCAACTTCAAAATCGAGCAAGGAGTTAAGGAAGTCAAACGATCGTCGCGCTGTTTGCAGCGCGATCAAAAAAATTGTTGAACGTCACAAATCGACCTTTTTCTCGAAAAAATTACGAAATCTCTAAGCGTCGTTTTCGCTGATTGCGGCTCATATAACAATGGCACCTCAGCTACTGTGACATAAACGAACAGGTCCATGAGGCCTCTCTGGCCCTACACATCCAGGATTGACCTGGGTGCGACTGCGCGGCCAGACCGTGTTCGATACAGCTGGGTGGCAGGTTCAGCAGGCTGGCTGATGTCACACAGTGACGGCGGCTGAGACTGGCTAACGTCGCTCCACGGCGACGGCACGTCACTCGGCGGCTGAGGCTCGCCAATGTCGCTGCGCGCCGACGCTGAGGGCCTGCGAGACTGGCATCCGGCGGAAAGTGGACCCGCCTCTCTCTGAGGTGGGTACGGTTGCGCCGCACTTCTGTCCCATGGTCAAGCTGCACCATGTATGACCGTGGCCCGTTGACAGACTGGGTTACGATACCAGGTTCCCACAGTGGCGTGGTCGGGCTGCGGATGCCGACGTGCTGACCAGGAACTAGGGGGCGGAGAGACTGCGCTCGCTGGTCATGGTGTACTTTCTGCTGGTCCTGCCGCTCCTCGAGCTTCTGTCGGATGACCTCGTCCCGAGTGTCGCGCTGGTGTTTGCGAGGCAGGTTGTCCTGTACCTGATGACCGAACAGCATCTCGGCCGGCGACGGTAAGCCCTGGCACACTGGGGTGGCGCGAATGCAGAGCAGTGCTAAGTGCGGGTCGGTCCCGCTCTCCCTTGCCTTCTCGAGAGCTCTCTTAGCGATCTTGACTTGCGATTCGATAAACCCGTTACTCTGCGGGTAATGTGGCGACGACGTACTGTGGCGGAATCCATATTCGGCAGCAAACTCCGCGAACAGATGGCTGCTGTATTGCGGCCCGTTTTCCGACTTCAGCACGGCTGGGATGCCGTGCTCACCGAAAATCTCCTTGAGGTGCTGGATGATGGCCCTGCTGGTCGCTTGTCCGGCAGGCAGCTTCCGGGTGATAAAGTACTTGGAGTAGTAGTCGGCGGCAATGAGGTATTCTGACCCGCCAAGGTAGAACAGGTCCGTGCCTAAGGTGTGCCATGCCCTTGGCGGAATATCGGGCTGCACCAGTGGTTCCTTGGCTTCACTGCTCTGGTGGCGCTGGCACGTCGTGCAAGATGAGACAGTTGCTTCGATATCCTTGTTGATGTCCTTCCAGAAGACGGACGTTCTGGCTCGCAGCTTGGTCTTCTCTATGCCTTGGTGGCTGGCGTGCAGCTTGCTGAGGATTTCCCCCCTCATTGGCGGGGGAATCAGGACGCGACTGCTCTTCAGGATGAGACCGTCCTCGGTGCTCATCTCGTCGCGGAAATTCCAGTACGGGAGCAGAATTGCCGGCACCGCGCTCCTCTCTGATGGCCAGCCACTGAAGATCATCTCCTTCAGTGCTGACACCTCGGCGTCTTTAGCCGACTCCTCGCGGATCCTCGTCATCGTTGCATCGCTGAATTGCGGGAACACGGCGTGTACACTGACGTCGAGGTCCTCAATTGGCTCTGTTTCCTCTGGCGACAGTCGGGATAGCGCGTCTGCGATCGGAATGTCCTTTCCAAGGCGGTACTTGATGGTCATGTCGTACGGCTGCAGCTTCAGCAGCATGCGCTGTAGACGCTGCGGGGCTGCGCGGAGGTGCTTGAGCTTGATTGACTCCAGCGGCTTGTGGTCGGATTCTACTGTGAATGACTGACCGAATAGGTAGGTGTGGAATCTTTCACACCCGTATACGACGGCTAAGAGCTCACGCTCAATATTGGCGTAGCGAGACTCCGTCTCGGTGAGCTTCTTGCTGGCGAATGCAGCAGGCTTGTCGTCCTGCAGCAGAGTGGCGCCGAGACCTTTCATGGAAGCGTCGACTTGTAGTGTCGTTGCCTTGCCTGGGTCAAAGTAACTGAGCGTTACTTCTGTCGAAATGGCGGCCTTGACCTTGTCGAAGGTGCGCTGGTGGCTGTCTGTCCAGGCAAACGGTGTATCTGGCTTGGTCAGCTCACGCAGGTGCACGGTCAGTGTACTGGCATTCGGTATGAACGGGCTCATGTACGTGACTAGCCCGAGGAACGTCTGGAGCTCGTCCTCGTTCTCGGGGTGCTCCATCTGCTTCAGCGCTGAGACCTTCTTCGGGTCGGGCTGTATTCCGTCAGCGCTGCAGATGATGCCGAAGAACTTGATCTTGTCCTCTTTGATGCGGCATTTGTCTGGGTTCAACTTGAGACCAGATTGTTTGCAGCGAACCATCATCTGGAGCATGTTGAGATCATGGTCCTCGTCTGACGTCCCGTATGTGACGATGTCGTCTGCGATGCCGGTGACGCCTGAGCACCCTTCGAACGTCTGGTCGATCCTGGCTTGGAAGACATCTTGCGACACCTTGAGGCCGAATGGCATGCGAAGGAATCTGTAGCGCCCGAATGGTGTGTTAAAGGTGGTGAGGTAACTGGATTCGTCGTCGAGCTCCACATTCCAGTACCCACATTTGACGTCGACGATCGAGAACACTTTGGCACCTCTCAACTTCGGGGTGATCTCCTCAATGGTGGAGACCACGTGGTGCTCTCGCAGGATGGCGTGATTGAGGTCCTTGGGGTCTAGGCACAGGCGTAGCTTGCCATTGTCTTTGAGGCGGAACACGAGGCTGTTCACCCACGCTGTTGGTTCGCCTTCATGGATCTTGGTGATGATGCCGTTCTGGATCATGTCCTCCAGCTCCATCTTGATCTCGTCTCTCAGTGCGATGGCGTGGAGGGTGTACAACCGGGACGACGTTGGGGTCCACCGTGATGTGGCACTTGCCTGGGAATTTCCCAATGCCATCAAAACACTTCGGGTATTGCTTCATCAGGTCGTCCTTGTCTCGGATGCTTGCTGGCTTCTCCTGGACAGCGAAGTTCAGCATGACTAACTGCAGGGCTGTCGCTGTCGGGAGACCGATGATAGCAGTGCCAGGGCAGTCCGTGATGTAGAAGTCAGCGAGTTGACTCTTGCCATCCTAAGAGCACGGAATAGGACGGGTTCCGCATTGCTTTATCTTGGATCCGCCGTACGTTGTGAGGGTGGTACTTGACGGCTTCACAGACTTCGGCTTTGGGTATCCGTTTGGTCCGACGTGCTGGGGGGACATTTGGCAGAACACTCTCAGCAGCAATATATTGCCCTGGGCGCCCGTATCCACCTTGGCTCTCAAGGTGGCCGGTCTGTTGGTGTTGTCCAGGCTGACATTGAGGGTCGCGAACACCTCTCGCTCTAGTGGCGGTTGGTGGCGCTCGACGCTGTCGATGATGACGGCGTCGAAATGCAGTGCGTCGAAGCGTCTCCGTGGGCTGGGGCTCCTCTGGGGGTAGCGCTCCCGCGGGCTGGGGCTCCTCTGGCGCCAGCGTCCGCATTGCTGGCCCCTTCCATGTGCCTCGTCTCTCCCCTGCGACCGGCATACGTTTGCCCAGTGATTCGCCTTCCCGCATTTGTTGCAGGTGGAGCCGTGCGCTGGGCACTTGCTTGGGTGGTGGGTTCGTCCACATTTGCCGCAGTCTGCGTGTCCCACAGACTTGGAAATGGCGTGAACCGTTTCAGGTAGACGGCTGCTGCTGGTGGCGGTGGACAGCTGCTCCATGTGGCGCTGTGTTGCTTCATAAGTACGGGCCTTGTCAAGCGCTTCGTCCACAGTCAAATCACTACCACCCTCCAGCAGGCGTTCTTGCACTTTCGAGTGCTTCGTCCCCACGATTAGCTGTTCTATCAGGCGATCGTTAGTCTCCTGAGCGTCCCTGAACTTGCACTTGGACGTCTTCTTCTTACACCTCGCAAAGAAATCTTCTACAGACTTGTCGGGTTGCTGGCGGTATTTCCGAAGCTCAAACCGAGCCAGTCATGCATTTACCCCTGGCTGCAAATGCTTATTAAATTTCTTGAAGACGGCAGCTACTTTGGATTTGTCGCTTGCATTATCTCACTCGAAACTATTGAAAGCATCAACACCAGTTCTCCCGATCCATAGCATGACATAAGCAACCTTTTCCTTGTCGGACTTGTCGGAAAAGGGCCCTTGGAAAACTAGAAGGCAGTATTGTTGGAACCGCTCGAATTCGTCAGGTAAATCTGCGGCTTGCCAATCCATTGACGGCGGGGTAAATCCGGCTGCTTCTGCCATTTTACCTCTTGCGCCGGTGGCGCTACTGCGACAATTCTAGGGCGTTTATTTAGTTTACTTCTGACACTATGTTTCGGGGTAAACAAGTTAGTTGTTTACGACAGGATTATATTCTCACTTGGCCATTGTAGGCAAATCATAAGAACGCCGACATCTAAAGGATCCTGCATGAAAGTAGGCAGCTGCGAGACGCGTATCTCGCGCATGCTCTTGCATGGCTACGTAATGCATTACATCATAATACAACACACTGTGCATCATGTGTTGACTACGAGTACACTCAACACTGTACATCATGTATTGACTACGAGTACACCCAACACTGTACATCATGTGTTGACTACGAGTACACACAACACTGTACATTGCTCCCGTAGCTATGCAAAAGACGTTACTTCAGTATCGTCTGGCGCTAGCCAGGGTCCACACAGCTTTGAAGGGGAAGCTAAGCCTAAAATCAAATGTTCACCAGTTGTAGTCTTCGGCGTGCTGAGTGGAATGGTCTTGATCCGAGGAAGCTGAGACGCTCCATTCCTCCTTTATTCCCAATCGAACTCGGGCACTTCCACCGAAACTGGGCGACTGCGCCCGACTAGATGGGGATTTGTATGCAAAATCTCACTAAAAGCCCATTTCGTTCTTATGAAAGCATGGATGACCGTGATTGGTACATATGGTGTAGTCTTTTGGCCGCTGAGTCGACTGGTTTTGGTCCGAGAATGCTGCGATGCAGCGTTCCTCCTTTATTCCCAATCGAACATGGTTGAACAAGCGGTCACGTGCTCCTGAGTGCCAAAGTCACCTGGTCACTGCGCCAGCAAGCGACAACTTTCACACCAAGGTTCAACTTCAGTTCAACACGAGTGAAAGAAGTGCACCCAAAAAAGGTCAAACAGCCTGTAAGTTGTACCCTGCAGGCGCTAGGCTGCCTCCCACGGCTGGTTCGAGTGCGACATCAGGCAAAATGGTGTCGATTTTTTGCACTGCATGCGCTGTATGCACGCGCGTACTGTACGTCAGAATCCCATGGTAACATGTACGCGTGGAGTAGCGTGGCCAAGCGATCGTACCTTCGAACAGGAATTTTTCAAAATCCATCGAGTGAGAAGATGAAGTTTGAAGGAATTGTTTTATTCTCTCCTGATGATAGTCGGCCCTGTTCGGTGTACCTGTGTTGTCTGGCCTCGCGCATCGTTTTGCCGGCCAGCTGTGAACAGTTTGTGAGATCAAACTGATGCCAAATCAATGAGAGATGCAGCGAAATCGCCAAACTGTGAAGCTGATTTGAATAAAATAATAACGATAGAGAAAGATAATGGATACATTACCTGGCTGTAGCTGTTCTCCTTTGCTGACGATAGCAGGTGGTCCAGTTCGTTGTTAGTTTTCTGCTCTTTACTCACGAGCAAGCTGGAGGCAGTTCGTTTACTTGAACTGACGCCAACTCACCCACCAACCACCCGCGATTAACGCACTACACTGAAAATTGAACTGAGCAAACAAAGCACTTCAGGACTGTTCCTTTCTACTTCGTTTGCGAGGAGCTGGGACCGGAGGTCGTAAACTGGGGAGAGATGCGATAAGGTGCTGCTGGACAGTGACTCGAAGCCTTTGTAGCGGATCTACAATGCCACCATGACGGAGAAGAAGCGTGTTGAACTCTTTGTGAATGGATTCTGCCCCATGCTCAGCAAGCAACCCAAGACCTATTTTGAACTTCCGCATGAACGGAACTACATGACACTCCAAAAGGTGCAGCTTTGGAGTAACCCGGCCAAGGCTACGAGGAACAATCTCCCTACGAACTGACGCCATAAACTTGTCGATATCGCTCTGCAGCTGGTCGCAAACTTCTGCCAGACTGCTGAAGTTCCGGAAAATGCGACGTGACACTTTGCGTATTGTTGGAACAACAGCTTGTATCTGCTGGATACAGCTGAAGCATCCGCAGCCAGAGAGGGTGCACACTTCTCAACAACTGCAATGAATGAGGTCAAGTCAGTGATGACGGAGTCTGTAAGCGCGTGGTGGACATGGTTGCCAATAAATGAACCCCCATGGTACACTTGCCGGCAGATGTTGTGCTTTTGTAAAGCAGCCTCAACATACTGGTTGCAAGGCCCGTTGTCGAGCTTTGCATTTGTGAGGGTCTGCTCGTGTTTTCTGATGTCACCCTGCAGAGCTGTGACCTGCTGCTGCATTTGCGTGGCAGCATGCTGGAGGTTACCAACCAAAGCCTGGAGGTTGTTTTGCTGCTCCGGATTGCCAAAATGGAGAGCAACCCATTGCATCTGGCCAGTCAAGACAGCAAGCTGACTAGATTTTTCTTCCAGTTCTAATCTTTTTTTCTTACATTCTTTCTGATCTTCTATCAGCTTTTTAAAGGCAGCTGAATCTGCCTCACTCACCTCTACCTCGCATGCCATTTTCAAATCAATGTGCTTACACTCCTTGACAAAGGAGTCAAAGACCCATAAATAGATTCCGAGATCAAGATGTAAGGCTGGCAGGCACACATGATCAATAGGAACGGAGAGCATGGCAGGACGTATGGCATTGTAGAAATGCTTTGCTTTGGATAAGCGCCCACCGTCAGCCATAAATTGGCCATGGTGAAGTGAGAGTGTGTCGAGCGTGCGTGGCTCTGGCTGCTGCTCCCAATCAGCGGGGCACTGTTGTATCTGTTGCTTTGTACTCAAGCAGTGCAGACACGGATGCACTCCTGCAGATCCTGACAGGCCATAAACAGTCGTTTGGAACTCGTAGTCGCCAAACAAAATAAGGCGAAACGACTTGTTCTGCCATGTGGTTGCAGCAAGGCTGTCAATGTGTTGTACAAGCGACGCAAAAGCAGTGGAAAGGTTGCCCGGGGTATCTTTTGCATTGAACACAAGGATAGGGATGGTGTTTTTCACAGCATTTGGGTGAGGGATGTTGCAAATCTGGAAGGATAATTTGAAAGACCCGCCCCCATGATCTCCCCCTAACTTCACCCAAATCTCATCCTGCGGGATAACACCATGGTCGGTAAGCATACCAGCCTTCTCGTACTGGTCCAAGAAGAAAAGGACAATCTCTGTGAGGTTGCGTGCCACAACCATAGGTGACGAAACCACATCACCACTCGGAAGAGTGAAAGGGCACATTTCGGAAGCATAAAATGCAGGTACCTCTTCCGCAAGCTGCTGCCGCATGGTGTTCTCCGACTCAATCTCACACCCAAAGGACTTGAGCCACCTCCGCAGTTTCCTCAGCTGGTTCCAAGGCATGTGCAGATCTGCTTTTAAAGCAAGGGCAGAATGAGATGAAGGTGCACAAGGAGACACACCGGCAGATTTAAGCAAATTTTCACGGTCTATCTGACCCATACTACGCAGCTCATAGGCATCTTGCTTACCGACACCAACAGTGCCCCCACAGACTACCTCTTTCGCCTGTCGGATTTCCGCCGACCTCCTCTGCATCTGCCTTACAGACACAGCATCACTGCCACCTTGCGTCGTACGCACATACAAAGCAGGGGTACCACCCGTCCGTAACTCTAGCTTACCATCAGTGGACTTTGACT